AAGTTCCCTGAGATATACTACAATACTCCGCTGTACTTAAAATACCTACTACTGACTGGGCACAGTGGCTCACGCCTGTAATCCCAGCACTTTGGGAGGCAGAGGCAAGAGAACTGCCTGAGTTCAGTGGTTCGAGACCAGCCTGGGCAACTTGGCAAAACCTCGTCTCTACAATAAATCAAAAAATGAGCCGGGCATGGTGGCACACACCTATAGTTCCAGCTACTTGGAAGGCTGAGGCAGAAGGATCACCTGACCCCAGCAAGTTGAGGCTGTGGTAGCCGTGAGGATGCCACTGCATTCCTGTCTGGGCAACAGAGTGAGACTAAGACTCAGAAAAAAAGTTTTTAATTGAGTCCCAATACTTCTCTTACAGCCTTCACTATCTCCGTCAACGACAACTCCATTATTCTAATTGTTCATGCCAAAGACCCCGAAGTCACCCTTGACTCCTTTCTTTCTCTCACACTACATCCCCCAACTCAGCTTATCCACAAATCCTATTGGCTGTACTTCAAAATATACCCAGGATGCATCATTCCCCTGGATTATGGCAACAGTCATATGCCAGTGGTCCCAGTCACTTGGGAGGCTGAGGCAGAAGGATCGTCTGAGCCAAGGAGTTGGAGGCGGCAGTGAGCCGTGATCACCTCCCTGCTTCTATCCTGGTTCTTTCTCCACACACAACCAGGAGTCTGGTGAAAGGCGGGGTGGATGCTGCCCACTCCTGCTCAACAACCTCCAATGGCCTCACTCACCCTGACGGAAAACCAGCATCCCTACGGTGACCTACAAGGCCTTCCAAGACCTGCACTTCTCTCCTCCCACACCCAACACCACTCTGACCTCATCCTCTCTGCTCCCGCTTGCTCACTCCCTTCCAGCCACACTGGCCTCCTGACTGGGAGCAAAACCTACCAGAGGTGCTCCTTCTTCAGGGCCTTTGGATCTGCTGTTCCCTTTGCCAGGAGTCCTTTGTCCCCACTCAGTCACATGGCCCCTTCCCTCCCTCCTTCAGAATCAACTGTCACCTTCTGAGGGAGGCTCTTCTAAGGATCCTATTTGAACTGAAACCCCACCTACAAGCCCACATCCCACTTCCCTGCTTCATTACAATATAATATGTATTTTACTTGGTAATTATTGTGCCTTTCCCCAATTTAAGATCCACAAGGGCAGGGATTTTTGCCTTTCCTGTGGACTGCTATATTCCCAGTTTTTAGAGCAGCACTGTACAACAGAAATAAAATGGGAACCACAAATGCAAGCCACATATATAATTTTTTAATTTTCTAGAAAACAGATTTTAGAAAGTAAAAAAGTCAAGCACAGTGGCTCACGCCTGTAATTCTAGTACTTTGGGAGGCCGAGGCAGGAGGATTGCTTGAGTTCGGGAGTTCAAGATCAGCCTAGGCAACATAATGAGAACTCATCTCTACAAAAAATAAATAAATTAACCAGGCATGGTGACACACACCTATAGTCTCAGCTATTTGAGAGGTTGAGGCAGAAGGATAGCCTGAGTCCAGTGCCACTGCATCATGCTGTGGTGAGCACTCCAGCCTGGGACTCTGACTCAAAAAAATATTTTTGAAGTAAAAAGAAAAATATGAGACTAATTTTAACTATATTGCATTTAACCCAATACATCCAAAATGTTATCATTTATAGCATATATTTGCATATTATTAGATCATTTACTTTATGATATTTTTTGTATGATCTTTTACTATAACATAAGTTGTCTGACCCGCCTGGGCAACTTGGCGAGACCGCATCTCTACAATAAATCAAAAATTAGCCGGGCGTGGTAGTGCGCGCCTGTAGTTCCAGTTACTTGGAAGACTGAGGCGGAAGGATCACTGGAGCCTAGGAGGTCGAGGCTGCAGTAGCCGGGAACGGCCACTGCACTCCAGTCTGGGTGACAGAGTGAGACTCCGACTCAAAAAAATAAATAAATAAATAAGTTGTCAATGAGTGGGCTCAGGTGAGTTGACCAGCAAAAAAAAGAAAGAAAAAAAAGTATCAATGAGATATTTTACTTTTTTTTCATGTTGTCTTCAAAATCCAGAATGTATTTTATGCTCACAGCATAGCTCAAGTGCTCAAAAGCCCCATGGGAGCTAGAGGCTACCAACTCTATAACAGTGCCTGGCAAAGAGTAAGTACTTATAAATATTCATCGAATGAAGAATGTTTTCCCAGGAAGAGGTAGCTATGGTATAGTACAGGGTTTCCTAAACTTCGGTTACTCACATTCTACATTCACAATTTTTCTCTATGACCCATACTTCTTTCTCCTTAAAAAAAACATTTTCTTAAAAAGTCATACTTTTTGGCCAGGCGTGGTGGCTCAGCCTGTAACCCCAGCACTTTGGGAGGCCGAGGCAAGAGGACTGCCTGAGCCCAGGGGTTCGAGATCAGCCTGGTCGACTTGGTCAGACCTTATCTCTACAATAAATCACAAAAACTAGCCGGGCGTGGCGGCGTGCATCTGTCGTTTGAGCTACTTGGAAGGCTGAGGTGGAAAGATCACCTAAGCCCAACTGGTTGGGACTACCGTGGCTGTAAGCATGCCACTGCACTCCAGCCTGGGTGACAAAAGAGTGAGAATCCAACTCAAAAGAAAAAGTCTTAGTTTTTTGTTTTTTTTAAGTTGGAGTCTCATGCCTATCATTCCTGTACTTCGGGAGGCCCAGGCGGGAGAAATGTGTGAGCCTAGGAGTTTGAGACCAGCCTGGACCATAGTGAGACCTTGCCTCTACAAATAATTTTTTTTTTTAATTAGTCAGGTGTGGTGGTACACACCTGTAGTCCCAGGTACTTGGGAGGTTAGGGTGGAAGGATAGAGAATCAAGGTCAAGGTTGCAGTGAGCCATGATCATACCACTGCACTCCAGGCTGGGCAACAGAGTGAGACCCTGAATCAAAATTAAAATAAAATAAGGCTGGGCGCAGTGGCTCACGCCTATAATTCTAGCACTTTGGGAGACTGAGGTGAGAGGAGGATTGCCTGAACCCATGGGTTCGAGACCAGTGTGGGCAACTTGGTGAGACCTCATCTCTACAAGAAATCAAGAAAAATTAGCCGGGTGTGGTGGTGCAAGCCTATAGTTCCAGTTACTTGGAAGGCTGAGGCCCAAAGATTGCCTGAGTCCAGCAGGTCAAGGCTGCAGTGGCTGGGAGCATGCCACTGTGTATTCCAGCCTGGATGACAGAGTGAGACTCCAACTCAAAAAAATAAATAAAATAAAATAAAATAAAGGAATTTATTAGGCCTCAATTTCTTCATCTGTGGAATAGTGACAATACCAACCTTCACAAGATCATAGAAAAGATTCAATGAGATGTTGGTATAAGCTCTTTGGAAATGGGAAAGTAATCACTAAGTGAGAGACTAAAAAGCCAATCCAAGCCATTCTCTGGTGCCTATCGTTGCCATATGGACCAATAAAGCAGATAATGGCAAACTTGTATGACAAGAGAAGAGACAAAGGAGACTTGGGTTAAAATCCCTTATCACCACTTACAGCTATATGATCTCTAGAAATTCATGTATTCACCAAACATTTATCAAGTGCCCACAGCACGCCAGGCACTAGGCTAGTAGCCAAATAAAATATGAAACCTGCTCTTGAAGGATATGCAGTCAGTCTAGCAGGAAGAAAGAGACCAGTAAACAAGGAGCAATACATTGTTTAAAAAAAAAAAAAAGTCATCTGTCTCTTGTTCCTTGTGAGATTGAAATAACATCTTCCCAACCTCACTCAACAGGGCTGCTACAAAGATTAACTTTTAAATGTTTGTCAAACACTCCAAAAACCTGAACTCACAGTACATTACCGGCAAAATACTTTTTCCCCCTGCTTGTAAACAACTCTGACTTGCGAATGTCCGTATGAACATTTGTTCCAGTAACACTGCATTCGTGAAACTCATTTCACTTCTGCAAATATTAATAAACATGAAAAGAAAGAGGATGGACAGCTTTAACCCCCGTAGTCAATCTCAAAATCATGATCCAAGTCACAGTTCTAAGGAGCACAACACAGACCTCTCCATCACCCTACCCAGTTAGTCTGTCAAGATAAGCGGTCACATGGTAAAGGAAACTGAATAATTTAAACGGAAGAAAGAGGAAAGGTCATAAAGCAGTATAGGTAGACACTCCTCCCTCCAAGACTTCAGCAGTCACCATGTTGCTGAGGTAATGCTGGGCTAGGTCGTGGTCAACAGTGTAAACTAAAAGCCATTTTACGGGGCAAAGTGCCCACGCTACTTTTCTTTTCTCTTCTTTTTTAAGTCTGGATAATGACCTGATCAGGAAAAACTCCAAGGAAGATGATCTGAAGGGCTAGGTTCCCAAGAAGTGGAAAACCTACCCAAGCAGGACTAAGTGGGCGCGAGAAAGTAAGACGACCAAGATTCTGTGATTCCCTTCTGAAGTTTAAAAACTGACTGGGACCGAAATCAAAGTCTCGGCTGGCAATCATTTCCAAAGAGGAAGGAAGGAAGGGACTCTCAGCTGAGGTTCACGCAGCATCTTCTTCCAGATTTCTCCCTTCCCTCCACGCCATACGCCCATTTTCAGACACCCCCTTCCAGCTGGGTCCCAAGTCTCCCCTTCCTCGGGTCCCGATTCCTCCACAAAGATTACTCCTCTCCATCCCTGGGCACTAAGCTCCTCTTCCCTTCCGGAAGGACTCGCTCCCGCGGCACCCTCGGCCGCCCGGGCGCACAGCTCGAAGCGGCCCCCGCGCGGCCCGCGGCGCAGCCACCCCGCTCTGG